GTTTCGTTTCTTTCGCTTTCGTTTCTCTCGGCTTTACTTAAAATCTTTCCGATTTGTACGGTCTCCACTTTTTTCGGTGTTTTCAAGAATTTTCAAGGTTTTGTCAATTTTTCTTCCAGATACATCGGAAAATTTGAAAAAAACAGTGAAAATGAGCAAAAAAATTAAAAAGTTTGAATTCGCGCGCTTTTACTCGCCGGGCGGCCTAGAAAAAAAGCTCGTCGCTAAGGGCTTTCAGCGTGTTTTCCGATGCGTTTTTCTCGATAAAGGATTTTTTTTGAATTTTTTCTTTACTTTTTAATCTACATGCTTTTTTGCACATTTTAATGCAATAAAAAATTTCACCGTAGACCACCTTTAAAACATCTGTCCACAATATATTGCTTTTTGAGACCCCGCAAATTCCGGGGAAAGAAAAAACCGGGAAAAAAAATCGGGGAAAGTGGGCGGAGTCGGGGGCGGAGCCTAAAATGCAACCCTGGCACGGTTTTGCCGCACGGTTTTTCTGCACATTTGGACACTGTCATGAGGGGGCGGAGCCTAAATTGCAACCCTGGCACGGTTTTGCCGCACGGTTTTTCTCGACTCCGCCCACTTTCCCCGGTTTTTTTCCCCGATTTTTTTTCCCCGGTTTTTTTCTTTCCCCGGAATTTGCGGGGTCTCGGTTTTTCCAGCTAGGTATGCAAATGCACTAATGAGAGGTGACGTGGCAAAATTTTAGGCCCGTGAAAAATTAATTTTTTCAACCCGAAAAAAGTCAAATTTCGATGCAAAACTAGTGAAAATTGGCTGAATTGCCGAAATTTTTTTCCATTTTCAGCCTAAAAACAGTCCAAAAAGGTCAAAAAACAGTAGAAAATGGTCAAAAAAGGTGCATATATTTCGAAATGAGCAGTTTTAGCTCATTTTTTGAGTGTTTATTGTTTTTTCACATTGATTTCAGGTCACTTTCCGCCGGTTTCTAAGACAAATGTTGACCCAAAAAAATCTGAAAACCCGGTTTTTCAGGGCACCTATGTCTGGATTATCAACAAAAATCACTGGCATTTCGAGAGGAATCCATGAAAAAAAAAACAAATGATTTATTATAAAAAAAAACAATAGTTTATTCAAAATAATCGCGGGAACAAACGAGTGAAAATGTCTGCGTCTCTACAGCGCCTCTACAGGTTTGGAGACTCTCTACACGTTTTTTTACTCGTTCATCCGCGCGATTATTTTGAATAGACAATATCATATCGGGTTTGTAGACAACAGAAAATCGCTAATGTTTTTGATCAAAAACAACAACAACAACAGGAAAAAATAAGTCTAAAAAAACTAAACAAATTAACAGAAACTAAATCATTGACCAAGATTCGGAAACTCTTCAGGATCCAACATTTCTCTTCTGCAGTGTGGACATGATCTGTGGATTTTGAGCCATTTCGAAGCACACTGAAAAATCAATAATTTAAAAAAACATCCTAGAAATCTCCTTATTTACCTCGAAATGCGTCACTTTCTTGCATTCCTCACATTGTAACGTCTTCTGATCCGAAGTCATTTCCACGTAGCAAATGAAACATTCAGAATCGGATACTTCAATTTCAGAAGGTGTTATTGATTGATTATTGATGATTCTCCAATATAAATTCATAAATCGTTGAGAGAATTCTGGAGAATCTGGAAGTGGAGTAACCGTGGATACATCACAGGTTTCTTGGATTCTTTGAATATTCAATTCCACTCCTTTTGTATATTTCAACAGTTTCCCCTCGAATTGATAATACTCGTAATCAGCGATTTGATGGATTTCTACGAGATCCGTGGAGGATTTAAGCCTGGATATTTGAGAAATTTGGGGACAAAATCAATTCAATAACTCACTTTTGAATCATGTACTTTGCCTTTTTGAGCTGCTTCTTGTGATATAACGAATCCTTGATTTTTTGGAATCCGAGCAATGCAAATCTGTGATGAGTTGGGTGTCCATCGGAAAGAGACTCTGGAACTGTTGGAGTGGGCGGAGCTTCTAGAATCGATGCAATTCGTTCTCGAAGGTTTCGATTCTCTCTTTGGAATGATTCCTTCTCGTTCGACATGATACTAAGAGCGGCGCGAAGTCTAAAAAGCAATTTCTTTGAATGTTTGGATTTTTAGGCCCAAATCTTACTCTTGGAAACCTCTCTCTTTCTGACGAATCTCCGAATTCAGTCTCTCTTCATTTTGTAGGAATTGTAGCTCCATCCTCTCTTTTTGACTTTTCACTTGTGCTGTGAGCTCATCAATCTTCTCCGATTGCAACAACTCGTTCTTCTCCTTTTCCTTTTTCAGTTGGCCCGAAAGTTCTGTGATCTTCTCGAGAAGCTCATTCTGGCTGATCGAATGACTGAAAATATTGTTTTATTTTCATTTTGATACTCAAAATTCGCTCACTTTTTCTCTGCCAAATGCATTCTTGTCTCATTTGCTTCCAATCTAGACACCTTCATTTTCAGCTCTTCATTCTCCTTTTTCTCCTTCTCTAACTCCGATTCTCTGCTCTCCGCTTCCTTCTCCTTCTTCTTCGTTCCCAACTTTAACGCCTTCAACTCCTTCTCAACCTCTCCAGCCTTTTTAGTTCTTTTCTCTAACTTTTCCAGCTTATTCTGTGTCATTTTCAGCTCTTTTTTAGCCTCGTTGCACATTTCGCTGGTTCTCAGGCACTTCTTGCAGTTCTTCGATTGATTTACGTCGATTTCAGGGAGCTTTTTGAGCGGAGTTGTCTTTTGAATGCCGTCTTTCATTACTTTCGAAGCGTTTTGAGATGTTGACGTCTTCTGGATATCAATTGAAGTCGATGTTTTCGCTGCTAGGTGGTCTAGAACCCTATTAGGCCTTTCTGGAGCTATTGATCTCTTTTTGATCTTTGAAAACTTCTCAATTATAATCTCCTCCTCATCCTCATCGTCTTCTGATTCACTTGATTGCTCATCTTCATCGCCGTCTTCCTTATTTTCGACGAAATTCGAAACCTTCTCCAACAACTCCTCATTCGGGCTTCCCTTCTTGTTTGTTAGCAATTTTTTCATGTATTCAATCGCTGAAAATAGAATTTTTGAAGTTTCAAAAATTAAACAATTTCGAAATTCCAAAAATCTATTATAACACAATTTTCAAAAAAAAATTTTACCTGAATTAGAAGTCAGCTTCTTCTCATCGACAGCGGACGGTAATTTGAATGCAAGTTCATCCCAAATGATACTAGAAATATCATAAGTCTCTTCATCATCATCAAAGAACGTCTTCATGTACGCTTCGAAGAATCGACGACGCCATTCCCACGCCTTGCACAACGCCTTCTCTTCGATGGCGTCAAATTTTAGGAATTTTTGGAATCCCAAATTCTGGAAAACACGATTTTTTTTCTTAGAATTTTCAGCATTTACGGCTTATTGCTCACTTTAAATTCCGCAATCCACGTGGAATTCTGGACCATTGTGTTTGGTGTGAGCTGTTGAAGACGTGAAAATGGAGATGTCTCAATTGGATTCCTCTCGAAATGGCAGTGATTTTTGAGCTGCTCCAAATGGGTGTCGGCGTGGATAATCCAGACATAGGAGCCCTGAAAAACCGGGTTTTCAGATTTTTTGGGTCAACATTTGTCTTAAAAACCGGCGGAAAGTGGCCTAAAATCAATGTGAAAAAGCAATAAACACCCAAAAAATGAGCTAAAACTGCTCATTTCGAAATATATGCACCATTTTATGACCATTTTCTACCGTTTTTTGACCTTTTGGACTGTTTTTAGGCTGAAAATGAAAAAAATGGAAAAAATGGAAAACATTTCGGCAATTTTTAAGCCAATTTTCACTGTTTTTGCATCGAAAGTAGACTTTTTTCGGGTTGAAAATTGAGACTTTCTGGAAAATTTGACATTTTCAGGCTCAAAATTCCTTTTTTCACCTCTTCCAGCGCCGCCGCGTAATCCTTCATCAATGCAACGATGGCGCTTCTCAGGCTCTCCAAACAATTCCGATGCTTCTTACAATTGTCTTTTTTCGTCCAATTTACATTACACAAAATCGATTGGAACACATGAAACACGGCTTGTTGGGTACGAATCATCATCGATCCCGTTGGATTAATCACTTCCAACAGCTCGTTTCCAAGATTTTCGACCATTTCAATCATTCCCAATTCATGGAATTGATCAGGAACAATCTGCAAAACTTCTAGATTGAGTTACTGTAGTTTTAGGTAGAGCTACCGTAATCCTCGATTTATCCACGTCGAATTCCTCCAAAATGTACCATAATTCAGCCAGACTGATCGTCGTTTTCAGGCAATCGTGTTCTCTTCGCCATTTTTTCTTATATTTTTGGTAGCGATCTTGAAATTGAAATTTCAGATTTTTGAAAAAAACAATCGAAATCTAGGTCATGACCGAATTTTTTTCTACGTCATGACCAATTTTTTTTCTAGGTCATGACCTAATTTTTTTTTCTGATCATGACCTAATTTTTTCTAGGTCATGACCTAATTTTTTGGAAAATTTCGGAAAATCAAAAATTCAAAATTTTGAAAATTTTAGCTCAAAATAATTCGAAAAAATCTCGAAAATCCGAATTTTCAGTACAAAATTGGTTGAAAATGACGATTTCCACTGTATTTTTCGCTTCAAACTAGGTAAATCAGCCTTTTGAACTATTTTGGGACTTTTTTGGACCCATTTTAAGCTTTTTTGATCATTTTTTAGACTATTTCTAAGCTAGATCACCGCCTAGAATGTGAAATTGGACTACCATCATCGTCTTCCTGAATCGGAGTATTCTGTTGTCTCAAAACTACAGCAATCACATCCAAAACCTCATCAGTAAACACTCTGCGTCTCTCATATCTCCTCAAAACCGCCGATTGAATCGCTCTAATATAAATCTTTTTCTGGGGATAGAATCGCTGAAACGCCTCCAAACTCCTCAAATTCTCCTTATCTTTCGTGCCCTCTTTACTCTTAAATGATAAATAATCCAGCCGTTTCGTCACTTCTGCTCCATCGTCGTCGTCCAAAATGAAAAATTTGAATTCGTTTTTTTGTTTAACGTCTTCTGCATTCAATAAAACATAATTCATGAGGAGAACACTTCCATTCGGCAGTGTTAAATGTTTTCCGAATGAGCAATCCACTTCGTCGTGTCGAAAATCGATCCATTTCGAATTTTTGAATTTCGCGGTGCTTGGTGATAAGGAACACTGATCGCAGTGGAGATTCGGAAGACGATGGCATGCGTTTTGGGTGTGAAGGAATAGTTGGAGCTGTAAAAACATTATTTTTCTGGCTTGGCGGGAATTCGAAATTTTGAAATTTAGGTCCCTGCGTCCCTAGATATTCGATTTTTGAATCAAAAGAAAACACTCACACTTGGAATTTTCTTGAAGACACAAATCAGCAGACACTTTTCAATGGCATCAAATAGATCACAAGTTCTCAGGAACTCTTTTTTCTGATCTCTTATCACTTTTTGATAAACATCCTCCGCATAATCTTGAATATCGAAAAACAGTTTCGTCAATCCCAAATGAGCCAGCTCATTCTTCAAATTCTGCACTGTGAATCCGTCCGTTTTCGCATTTCTCACATTTTTCACTTGGATTTTCGAGAATTTTTCACAGAAATTCTCAAGCTTCTCGTCGATCGATTCAATCGTTTTTCGGCGGAGGAAATAATTGTATCTCTGCAAAAAACAGTAATTTTTCAGGTTAAAATGGGAAATTTGGAATTTTTAAAGGTTTCGAATTGTCGCGGAGCCGTTTTTTCAGCAAGAAAATGTATCCTTTAGACTTTTTTCGGTTTTTTTCTGAGTATTTGAAGAAAATCGATTTTCAGATTTTTAAACAGAATCTGAAATTTGAAAAACCATAAAAAACTAACATGATACGGTGTGAAAAACGGGGTCAAATTAGCCAAAGCAGCAGCTAACACTGGCCACGAGTCATTTGTAAACTTCTGGAATATCTGATGACCGAAAATCAATCGATTAAAGATTTCAAAAAGTGCATCAACTGCCGGGATACAGTAAGAAAGGGGCGGAGTCAGAATCGGCACCGCCGCATGTTTTGTACGCGGAATTTCGATTTGAATAAATTCAATTTTTCCCAATAAATCCTTGTATTCCTCCACAACTTCTGAATGCTTCATGCATAGAATCAAATCTTCCTCCTCATATTTTATCGATTTTTTCTTCGGATTCACTAGATTTATCGCTTTGAACAGCTCCGATTTCATTACGAATCGCTCGTTGTGGTCCACGAAAATTCGGACACCAATTGGACTGTGCGCATTTGTCTGGAAATTTGAAAAAATGAGAAAAAATTATGAAAATCACTCAGTTTTTGGATCAAAATGGGCGTAGTTTGGATCCGAAAACAATTAAACTATCCTTAGCTCCGCCAATTTTCATCCAAAATCGGTGATGATTTTCATACTAATCGATTGTAAATTTGATTTTGAGTAGTTTCAATTTCTGTAAAACTCAATTTCCAACTGATTGGTCAACAAATTGGTCCTTAACTCCGCTCATGTTGATCCGAAATCGATGGTTTTCATACAAATCCACTAGGAATTCAATTTCCAATCGATTGGTATGCAAATCAGTAATTTCTTATCAAAATGGGCGGAGTTAGGGTTAATTCTTTGTTTCAGGTCCTAACTCCGCCCATTTTGATCCGAATTTTATCAATTTCACAGTGAGAATTTGGAATTTTAAATCGAATTTTCGGTATTTACATAATTTTTAGGCTTTTTCAGACAATTTTTTTGCCTATTTCAAGCCAATTTTGATAATTTTCTGTCAATTTTAGCTTAATTTGAGGAAATCAATTTTAACCGAAATTATATAATTTTCAGCCGGATTATAACGATTTTTATCATTTTTGGTTCAATTATCCTTATTTTTGAGCTCATTTCAGTCAATGTTCTCTTATTCTAGTATATTCTAGGTCATTTTCAGCTCAAAAAAGCATCACACACCACTTTATCATAGGGCAGAAACATCTCTGGATGTGCCTTAGTGATATCATTCAAATATTCAGCCAAGTACTCCAACCCAACAATGATAACAGACAATCTTTCTCGATTTCCAGGCTCCGAACGTTGAAAATATCCCATTAGAATCTCCTTAATGTCTTGAAATGAATCATCCCTCCATTTCAGTGTCAACGCCTTAAATCGACTGAAAATCTTCTCGAATTTGTAGTTTTTCGGCTTAATCACAATCTTATCAGGCATCATCATCATTTCGAACTGAAAAAAATTGTGTTTGTAAGTCCAGATGTCCCCCTCTTTACCCTTAAGCCATCTTTAATTTCCTGATATTCTGTTTGGAATTTTTTGAATAAACTTTCATCGTATTTCACGAATTCACAGGTGGCATCTAAGCGTTCTTCTCGAGATTTTAGCATGACAGAGAGCATGGACCAGACGAGGTGATGAAACTGAAAAGTTGGATTTTCAAAGTTTCTCCAATTTTCGAAAGTTCCCAGAGCCAACCGTTGAGTTGCAAGTGGTCCGAAAAGCCTCAAAGAGAAGCGGGAAAACATCGGATTTATGAATAAACGCCTCGTTTCGAAGACTCTTGTACACAATTGGAGTTGTCTGAAAATATCGATTTTTCTAACAAATATTGATTTTTCAATTTTCTTACATTATACGGTTCGGTTGGATCAAAGCCTAGTTCCGCATGACTCATGGAAAATTTCTATAGATTCTCAAATTCTCCGCAAGCTCTTCAGAACTTCCGTACATGCGAAGATGAGCGGGATTTTTGGAAAATAGTATTTCCAGAACTTCCTCTCCATCGCCTTTTACTGGAAGAAATCCACATGGAACATCGGTTGCGTCCAGCTTGAAAAGTTGCTGAAAAATTGAATTTTTGATTTTTTTCTAGAATAAAAAAAAACACTTTTTTCGGGATATAACTCTTTGCCACCTCAGCCAGAGCTCCTTCGGTGAAAGTAGATGTTTCGTGTATGATTCGACAGCTCATTTTTACCTGAAAAACTGTGAAAAATTGATGAAAAACAGAGAAATAGCTGAAAAATTAGCTCAAAAGAAGTTTTGAGGCCGCACTTGGGTTCAAGCGAGGGGGTCAGAAAAAGCGCCCCAGCAAACTCGTAGGTCAGAAGAAATTTAATAATTTCAAAGTGAACGCGGGTTTGAACTAGATCATGATCTATTTCTTAAAAATCAACTGGTTGCAACGCGCGTATTTCTCTCATCGTTTAAAACTGTGATACTCAGCCAACAAAGTTCGGCAGCGAATTGAGAATTTTTGAAAAATTTACTGGGGCGCGTGGGGGGACCCCCTCNCTTGAACCCAAGTGAGGCCGTTCAAATCGGGGAGACACCCAAAAGCGGGAGACACAAAAGCGGGAGACACGAAAGCGGGAGACGAAAAGGGAAGAAAGTACGCAATTGTTTACTGTAGGCCACCGTTTCGTTGTAAAAAATTAGGCCGCAATTTTTTGAATAAAATACCCGAGATAAATGAAAATATGTTTAAAAAAATTTTGAGACCTTTTTTATGCTCCTGAACATCATTTTCGGCCATTTGGTTACTCACGGCTCGGAAGAAACGGGGGTACGACGAATTCGAACGTTTTCAAAATCGAACAGACCTAAAATCGAACTGATTCAATTCAGAACAGTCCTTTTTTCGCACACTTACC